ACATAAGTGGAAATTGTGAAACACGTAGATCTCGTCCCCTTCCCAGTACTTAATGAACTCTTTCAGTCATACGTCATGACAGCGTTGTTTTTTTCTCGTCACCTTCGATTCCAATCAAACATAATCACGATCTCCCTTGCTCTCACGTAATCCCTATCTATTGCTGTCTCATTCTACTGAAAATGACGTTTTTTCTCAATATTTTGCGTGTATGAACTTTTCATGCAGTTTTACGTCTGCGTCAATTGAAATACCGAGGAAAGTACAGCTTCATGATTGATATTTGATTTTAGAATGAGACAGCTACACGAACTAGGAGCTAAGTTAGAGTAAGCGAGATGGGTGAAGGTTAAATGGACCGAACCCAAGGTCATTCCGACGTCCATTGCCACACTTTGCTTGCTATCGATGAAGACCGCAGAAACATGTCCGGTGCTTTTTATAGCGCTGGACTAAAATAGCCCCTAGCGCTCAAAACATTTTCTTATATTTCTGAATTTAAATAAATGTTAGCATCAATTACAAATACTTTTATAAATGATAGAATTTGAAGGAAAGCCTCAGATTAATTTTCGATTGATGAGATAAATAATATACACATAGCTACTGTTACACATCAAATATTTGCTCTTTTATGAATATCCTCTGAAAATTTCATGCAAAACCGTCCTGTAATATTCTTTTGAAATTAAAGAAAGAAAGACCGCTAATTTAGAACACTAAAATCGATATCCGTATTTTTGCAAGCCATACCAAAGATGCATTGAAATTATGAAATCCAACACTTTTCTAACAAGATTTCTCTCGTTCAAACTGAGTTTAATATTTGCCACTCAAACCAGACCGATCTGCATAGATTGCAGAAGAGTTTCAAGTTACAATCCAGCTCCATGCCCCATAAATATCCGACATCTTACGTAAGTGTGACAAATTTCATGAAATCCGACCGGGACAAATTGAACGAAATTTGACAGGAAGAAGCTGAACGAAATTTCACAGCTCCGTGATAGCATCCTCCCGGACTAGTTTCTTCTTGTTCGTTTTTTGCGGGATCCAGGTCGGTTAATAACTCTGATATCGCGGTTCTATCCGCTATGAAACATGGCGCTCAAAATATATAACTAGGTCATCGAAGACGTCGCCGAATCTCCCCAAAAATCGTACCAGATTAACAGATTAACGATCCGTTTTCAAGACGAAGTGGCAACACAGCCGCCCGTCCGAAAGCATCCGTGCACCCGGAAAGAATGCGTTCGTGATTTAGAATGAAAGGGGGCGGTGGTTCGCGGGGGAGGGGAGGGAGAGTGAATGCTAAAATTAATAAATCATCAGTCTTCCTTCGGGCCGCCCTGTCAGGGCTCCTTGCGTCGTATTTTACCGCCCGTTCTGGACCTGCCCAATAATACTGGTTATTATTACTCCCAGGTACTCAGAGGATGAATGCAGCGCCTTAAACCCTCTCCCCCCTACTTGCAGGAAAATGGTTCAGAATTTCCTTGAGTTGGCTTATCATTCTTCGTAAAGCTGCTATTTAGACCCGTGCAACATGGGCTTGCGAAAAACGTATATATTTTGACGTGGAGACTGATCCAGTCGGTTTTCGTTTCACTGGCCAATGAGCTGTTCGTAAAATACGTGATGCTCTACACGGAGAAAAAACCTCGTGCGTGGGACCCGAAGTTTAGGTCATATAGGTCTCTGAAGTTTTCAGATTGAGCATCTGAACACTTTAGATCTAGCTGTCGAGGTTCGGATCACACATCTGAAACTTTAGTTCTTACATCTGAAGTACTTCAGATGTGAGAACCAAAGTTTTTCGGATGTGAGAACCGAAGTTTTTCGGATGTGAAAACTGAAGTACTTCAGAAGTAAGAACTGGAGTTTCAGATGTGTGATCCGAACCTCGACAGCTAGATCTAAAGTTTTCAGATGCTCAATCTGAAAACTTCAAAGGTTTATATGACCTAAACTTCGGGTCCCACGCACGAAGTTTTCTTCTCCGTGTAGGGGAGAAGGGTTTGAGCCTGCGTTACAAGGAGAAGGGGAAGTTCGCGGTCTCTATTCGTTGCGCCAAAATCAGCGCGCAGCGACGATAATTTGAAAGTTTAAGAGGAAGACTGATGCGAGGTGATAATTTTCTGCACGAATAGGTCAAACCATTTTGCCGTGGTATTGTCCGCGAAGACGATGACATAGATAAGAAAGTTTAATCCCAAAGCTGGCTTCACCCCTTCCAATCGTAAGTCAGGTGCAACTTGGAGACCGTAACGAAAATAAAATGATGTCAAGTTTCTAACTGCGCAGAATTTTGTGAAATTACAATGAAAATGTCCTTTCTCGAATATGTAGCCGAAAAACGGCGAGGAAGAATGTGACATTACCTTTATGACGCATTAATTGAACTGATGCAGGTTAAGAAATGGCATCAGGAATTATGGTCAACTTACCCTTCTTACGCTTCAACTTACGCTTCTTTTTAAATTACTACAGATCGCTTCTAGGACTTTATGTCCACCTACCTTTCGTCCATTAAATAAATGTCCACCGCTATTTATATCCACCAAACGTTAAATCCAGTCTTTATTAAGTCTATATGATTAAGTGTCAACAATGAATATGTCCAAAATTGTCCAAATTGTGGACATGACATGTCCACTTTTTTTCTTCTCATTTAAATGACAGGGACCACCTCAAAAATAAATGCATACTACTACTACCTTCATTCTTAAAAACATTTCATTCATGAATCAAGCCATGAAAGAGAACAGACTCTAAGAGCCGATAAAAACATATGTTCACGTGTACACTGTGCGGATATGATAAGATTAAAACCAAAACGGGAGCCTAGGAAACGCTCCAATGCCAAATTAAACATTTTTCAGTAACAGACGTAGTCAAAAGTGAAAGTCCTCTTTAACTAGTTATTTCGTGCGCCTTCAATCTTGTAGGATACTGTGCAACGCCTCTGACGCGAAATAGTTGCTTAAAGCGTTGCGGCGCGGCAGGCTATCAGCGTGACACGCGCATTGGCGCCTACAAACCTAACGGAATACTTCACGCGTTGCGCAATGCTTGAAGTATCCCGTTAGGTTTGTAGGCGCCTATGCGCGTTCTGCGCTGCTAACACGCCGCTCCGCTCTGTGTCAGGCTCTAATATTTAAACTCGCGGGGTCAGCGTTTTCAACTCATGATTTCGAAATGTTTGCACTTTTTGCATTGATTATTCCCTTTTAAACTGATGAAAAATAGTGTGGGCTTTAGAACTGTGGACGTAAAAATTGTGGACGAAAAGTCAGTGGGCGTAAAAAAAGTGGACATAAAGCCCGTGTACCTACAGATCAGGTTCGTGGGTCTAAAGTTCTTCATTTGATGATGTAGAAAAATTGAAAATCTAAGAAAAATGAACCAATGGTTATAAAAATACGCCTTGCAGAAAGTACTCACGTGTTTCTTGCCTATGTTAAGTTAGAACTTATGGCCGAAAGTTAATGCAAAAACATTATATCGTAGGAAATGGACGAGCAATGTCACCTTTCTATGGTGTCACAGTAGTGAAGCCCGGTTTGTGGTTTACTGCTCTTGGGAGCAGAAATTAAGGTCGGCGCAGAATAGAAACTACTGTCACTTTATTTGTTGCTACTGTCAAAATTAACGCTGAAATACGTGGTCAATTCATCACCAAAAATGAATAAATCAAATAAGATCGCTGAAAATCAAAATGTATTTATTCCCGATCGAGCCCGTGTTTCCGAACTTAATGAGGTTGACCTAATGTTGTGTTTAATTTTTTTATTTCAGTCAGTTTTTTTACAAGAACCAAGAGATGCTCAGAGTAACGTGGTAAAATTTGAAAAAGTAAATAAACAATTAAAATGTAAGCATGAATATGTGCTTATTTTCAATTTGAAGTACAATACGGAACGATTTTCAAAGTTTTCCTCAATTCTAAAGACTGCAAATGTATACAATACACATAAACTTAAACGTGCCTTATTCAACTTGAAGCACTTAACTTTCATATGCAACGAAACTCTCTTAAAAGGATTCTTTTTGTAATATTTTCATTTTCCAATGAGTAAATTCGATTTTACACTCATTTCTTAAAGAGTAAAGGAAATTGAATATGGTAACAATTTTAAGTACGTAAACTATTAATGTATTTGGGGGGGGGGTTAATAAATTATGTGCTTTTTTAGTGCGTTGCTTAGTACCATTTTTGAGGTTTTATCGGATACGTCTAAAAACTATAATTACAAGTTTTTGCGGAAGGATTTCAAAACATCTCTCAACTGACGGTGAATGACTGAACTGAATAATGCATCATGAAAACTTTTCGGAATTGTGAAAATTAAAGGTGCAGGTGTTGCGCTATCCTTTGACAAGGATTGACAGCCTCTCCATCTCCTAAGGTTGATGATGCCACGGGCCATGCTCTACCTCTATTCCTTCCTGTCGTGATTTACACATCGATTTTGAAACTTTAAAAAAAAAAAAAAAAAAAAAAAAAAAAAAAAAAAAAAATCTTCTTGATTGCGGTGTTTCAAAATCCCCCCCCCCCCTTCCTGGAAAGAGAATTAACTTAATTTTATCGTTTTGATGGCAGCAATGAAATGTGCAAAAATTTGTTAAAATTTCACTCTAAACGGTCAAAACTTGTTAGAATGCAACGTAAAGCAACTCAAAAAAATGAATCTTACGGTTAGAAACCATATAGGATAATTGTGGGCTTTACTATTGGGCTTTTGGCAGTTTAATTTAAGCTTGACAGCCAGCACTGCCCGAGCAACCCCAATAAATTTTCATCGGAACGTTGTGTATTAATGGGAGGGGTATCTCTCCATTGAAATAAATTGAGATTTTTTTTCTGCAGCGCAAATTGCCTATCTTCTCTTCAAGTGGGACTCATACCATTGATCGTCTAAAATCGGCATTCCTTGACTGAATGACGTTAAAATATTGCAACACAATGGTAAAAGTAATTACGATTTAACTGCGCTGTATTGGATTTAATTTGATGCATTTTTGAATTTGAATTGCATTCACTTGAATTTTATCGCAAAATTCCGTTGCACTATAATCTTTGGGTGAGGATCTGAGCACCAGCTACGAAGCTTTACAGGGTTTGCTTGTCGCTATCATGGGCCTACTAATCACTTATATCTCATCGGGAGGAAAGGTGAATTTATTGGACCAGTTTTCCGTACTCCACTCCCATTCTATAGCCTTAGGGAGTGGTGCGAGTTCGCTGGCCCTTAAAAGGTTGCCACTGTGGTCCTTGGAGTAGAATCCTTCCTTAATCTCGGCGCTGGTCAGTGGGCGATTCTGCAGACACCACGGGCAGCACAGGGGGTTCGGAGTCCTGCTGAAGCAAATGTAATAGATCCAATCTTTTTCGGTCTGGAGTTTAGCCTTGTACGGGAGTTTCTTTCCTAGCATGAGCTTCGCCAGTTCCACCGCCCTGACTGGATCAAAGCCAGCAGGTTCTATCCTAATTTTTACAAGTAAATTGGATTCATTAGTTGACTTTATGGGCAAATTCTGCCGTGCAATGGGAAAACGCCGTGTAAACCTTCAGGCGTTGCCAAATTTCTTTAGATAAAATACGAATTTTTAAGAGAATTTGTGAGTATTTTCCCTCCAAATTTTCGGACAATTTTATACGCAATTGAATCGCTTAATACGATAATATTTCGCTTAAATACGATGGAGAGAGATCAACAAAGGTGAGATAATACATGCCATGATGATTAGAACCATGTTTTTCATATTTTTACGGGAAAAGGCCAATTGGGCTGCAATTTGCAATTTGGAGCTATGAATTCTGGCTCATCTGAAAAAACACCTATGTGCATAGGGAAACTATTGGTACATACGTTGTTTTTAAACCGGGCCGGAATTTATAGTTCCTAATTGCAAAATGTAGTCCAATTTTGAATAAGTTAACCATTGCACGTCTTTTTCAAAGTCCCCCCCGGCTCAGATTTGTTACGTAACGCTGAGCTTAACCCCCCTCCCCCCCGTNGCACCGTAACGCTGGCTCAACCCCCCCTCCCCCGCAAGAGCGTCACGTAAATGAACGGCCCTCATTGAAAGTAATGCAAGCGAACCTGATGGCGCGACTAATCGAGGTTTCGGGCACCGGAAGTGTGATTTTGATGAGCCACGTGTACTTCTGGTTGCTCCGGTGTCTCCAAGGCATCCGCACCAGTGTTTTCTCGTCAAGGGCCAGCATGAGCCGCGAATGCCCCGTTAACAGGAGCGTTCCCTTTTGAATTTTCAGGTTCGAGTTTCTCAGACTCATAAACGGCCATCCATTCCCTTTTCCTCGGTTTGGCGGGATCAGCGCCGACAGGATCACCAGGATCAGGGCCAATTGTTTCCATTGGCCTCGAAGAAATTATTCATTTTTCTTAAAAGAGAATCTTTAACCTATAGAAAGCTTGATCTACAGAACCTAGAAAGAGCCTAACCTAAGGCAAGCTTTAAACTAGAGTAAACTCAAACATAGCAAAACTTTGGTCAGATGTTGCGCTGTCATTTTCGTGTCAAAGAAATGCATTGTGTAAGTAGATTTTGCAACCTATGGCTCTGAAAGCCGAAAACGGTGATATATTTATTTTATGTCCTTTTTTTTTAATCTAATACCAATTTTCGACCAAAGCGGAAACTACGCTTTGACATGTAAAGGAGTTTTTTTTTTCCTCTTTTTATTTCTTCTACAAAATTAAATTTAGGTATAGTTTATGTTATTGCTATTTATAAAAATTGCAATGAGTGGTGCGTATTAATGAGTAGTTTTAACTCTTTTGGTTCAAAATGAAGATACAAATCACTCGCAGTACATTAAAATCCCAATTTTGACCAGAAAACTTCCTCTTGTGAAAATGAAAAAGAAACTTTGCAACAAGCAGGCCCTTTTACTATAAATTTAAGTATAGTTCATGTTCCTTCTATTCATAAAAATTACAATGAGTGGTGCAGTTCATGTTCCTTCTATTCATAAAAATTGCAATGAGTGGTGCGTATTAATGAGTAGTTTTAACTCTTTTGGTCCGAAATGAAGATGCAAATCACTTGCAGTACATTAAAATCACAATTTTGACCAGAAAACTTTTCCTTGTGACAATGAAAAAGAAACTTTGCAACAAACAGGCCCTTTCACCCAAAAGCTTGGTCTTATTCTGCTAAGCTCGATCCAATGGGCCAGATGCGGTGGTCACAGAATCGTGTTTTGATGCTTGATTCTTGTAGATAAGCTTTAAATAATAAGGTCTGTTCAAACAGCAATTTTCTACGTTGAATATTAACCGAGATATTGCCCCTTGAAAAACTCGATTTATGACGTCATCCACTGCGGTAATACATGCCATGTTATGCACTACCGCAGTGGATGACGTCAAAAATACGATTTTCGAAGTGACGAATCTCGATTAATATTCAACGTATGATTTACCTAATAGTCAACCATGATTTTTATCCGCTGTCAGAAGAAAATTCTATTCAAACTTGAACAGGGTGTCTAGCATCAGGATTTTCCCGATTTTTCTGATTCTTTCAGGATTTGAGGTCATTTAATCCCGATTTCATCAGGATCTGAGGAAAAATTGGTCGTAAAATCAGGATTTGAGAAAAGTCGGCCGTTCGATCGGATTTTTTAATTGAGCTATTTTTGTGAAGTTAAATTCGCCTTGCAGAAAAGTTAAATTTGCCCGTGTAGTTAGGATTGGATTAGGATAAATTATGAAATCAGGATTTGCCAGTCAAATATCAGGAAAAATCAGGATTTCATCAAGATCTCCCAAAATGAAAAAAAAACTAGATACCCTGTTGAAGGAATCATTGATTTTTTTCTCCTTTAAGAATATAAAATAGGAGCAGAGATTTTAAAACGCTGCAAACAATAAACGTGGTTTGGGAGTTTTGCTGTCGATGTTTAATAAATGGACCGCGTTAAGCAGAAAGGAACCAAGCCACATCAGCTATTGCCAAATTTAATTGGGCGATTTAATTTTTTACATGAAAACGGTTGTGCGGATTTTCGTGCAAATTTCAGTGAAAATTCTTCATAGTACGAAGCAAATTCCTTAACAATTTTAAAGAAATCCGAACAAACGTTCTTTCGTAAAAAAAATTAATCGCCTAGTTAAACTTGGCAATAGCTGATGTGGCTTGGTTCCTTTCTGTTAAACTCGGTCCAAATAACCAATGAATTATATACATACATGTCGGTTTCATGTAGGTCTGAAAATTCTCCTGGCGGTCCGAACGAAGGAAACTTCAACATGCACCATTCAAGAACTACCTCACATGCACCAATCAAGAACTACCTCGACACTAATAAACGGGAACAAACTCGCACGTTCAGGTCAATGTTCTTGAAAAACGAAAATGTTCATCTATTCAATCCTACGCAGAATTCAAGTTATTCATTTTTCCCCCTCGCCCTCGCGTGTGGCGTAAGCAGAGTCGTGTGCTTTTACACGTATCAAGAGTTTTTGCTATCGTTAAAAATAGTTTCGTCTAAGTGCAGCGTGGTTTCACCATCCGTGGCGTGGCGTGAATTGCGATGTATCGATTGTTGTGCCATTTAAACCTATGGTAAAGAATCGATTATTAAGGTGTTCGCTACGAACACCCTGTTTATCGATCCTTTTCAATAGGTTTAAATGGCATAACAATCGATATATCGCAAAGCACGCCACGCCACTGGTTTCACCATTCTCTCTGCAAAGAAGGGAGGCCAAAAAGAGAACATCAAGGTATAGATCGCTTGATACGTCAAACAGGTGGATTGTATCGATATCGATTGGTTCAACATGTAAACGTAGCCTCGATATTCAATTGAGTAATCTGAGGGAACGGGTTTTTCTTATAGATTTTTTATTCTTATGAGTATAGAATGGCAATGAAAAGTGAAATTGGTGGGAATTTTCTCATTTTCAGCGTCTCCTACTTAAATAATAACATTTTTGTCAGAGGTAATGTTCTGTTGCTGTGAATCAAACGATACATCGAACCACTATCGAATACGATCCATTATATCGCATGAGGAATGATGGAGTCGTTGCACGCACCAAACGGAGCGCTTTTTCTGCGTTTTAAAAATTAGAGGAAAAACACCTTAAAAAGTATGGAAAAATTAAATGGGTTCCGGGAATTTTTGGCTGTTACTTTCCACGGGAACAAGAATTCGGGTTCACAGATGTAATAAATCTGGTCCCGCCGATTTAATACAATTTTATAATATACACCACACAATAAGAGAAAAGTATTTAGATGAATTGTGTGTGTTATTTTATCCCCACTCATCAAATTTCGGCTGTTGATATGAGTGCAATAATATCCTCCAATTTATGTACAAGTATCTATCTGCCGTCGCTTGCTTATACTTCAGTTTCACTACTCATACACTCAGTTTTATCGTTTGGTTTACATGCAACAGAACATTACCTCTGACAAAAATGTTATGATTTAAGTAGGAGAATTTGAAAATGAGAAAATTCCTAACAATTTCACTTTCCATTGTCGCTGTCGCTGCGATCTGTTTACGGAGAAAAATTTCCTGTTGGATCGCTAGGAATTCCCGTGAAATATGCCGTTACAGGAATTTTTCGTTGAGGTAGCCGGAAGCGTCCTCGTTCAAACAGTATTCCTGTTTTTTCTACAAGACGTCCTGTCAATTTAAAGAGATATCTTGTCTTGAGGGAGTTCTTGTCGTGGCATAATAATTAATCCGCAGGAGCACTTTTGTTAGCCTTTGGAGCATAATATGATACGGGTTTTGAAACATCTCTTCTGACAAAGTACAAGATGTATTATCCTAGTATGGACTTTCCTAATTACAAAATGTGTGAGACTGAAGCCATTGTTACGTGAGGTATGTTACTCACGCCTGCTTGAAATATCCCTGAAAAAAATGTGAAATGTGTTTTTTTCTAAAATTGTGGTACCACTCCAATTTTTTGGATGATATGGACATTTCCCATTAATATCGGTACTACCGCAACTAAATTTTGGAAAGTACCGCAACATTTGAGTTATTGACTTAATTTTATTGGGTAATACCACAATTGATTGGAAATTTCCAAATTGGGACTGATCGCCTACCTCTTTTTTACGTGAAACATGTCTGCTGTTCCATGTGTTTTTCAACCCAATCGCATTTCTGAGATTAGTTTTTAAAGAAAAAAAAAAAACAGTCTACTAAGAAATCAAAACTGCACATTTGGTGAAAACACGATGAATTTGCAGCTTTGAACTTGAGGACTGACCCAAATGAATTGAGGATCGATTGGTACAATCGAGTTATCAAAATTTCACATATTCATGTTCGATTTCAAGCCATTTTTTTTACCAAAAAAAAGATCAGTCTTGGTGCGTGCGTCATTAGGTTGACATGAAGAGGAAAGCTACATGCTACATATGCTACAACTTGATGAGAGAGGGAAGAATCGCTTCAGCATTTTTTTCACCAAGGAATGCCAGGCTGCAAATTAATGTTTTTTTTTCCGATTTGAAATTCTGATACTCCTCATGCAGATCCGAAAGAGCTGTTCAAGTGTCACTTTCGTGTCTGAGCCACGTCATTAAGACATCTAGTAAAAATTGTCATCTCTTCCCGCATGAAAGCTCGTGTACGAATTGAAAGTCTCTGTTGAAAACTGGAACCTCACTCGACAGGCATCAGCGTCAGTAAGAACAATATAGGTACTAACAAGCTCATTCTCAGCGTGGACGTCACCAAAAGTGTGTGTATCATGTCTCCAGTTATAATTCTAACGGCCGTAAGCTTTATTATGATAGGTCCTACCTCATGTACCTACCGTAAGTTATTTTTGAATTTGTTCATCTTCGACCTTTCATTTTTCAGTTCTTTCGCATTGTTCCAAAGTAATTTTTTTTGTACCTACGATAAAAATTGAGACGAGGGAGTGACTTGCGGTGTTTGGGAAACAGCACCAAAAAACAGCTCCCATTCCGGTCTTTTAGTTTTATTAATTGACTTTATCGTTTTTACTACTGGGATGCTGGAAATAATTCTTAGGTATGCAACTACACTGAAAAAAAACACATTGGATCTAGAGTCCAGACTCTTAAAAACATCGACAAGAAAAAATACTCTTGATTCAATCAGATTTAAGCTTAAATCAAGAACCAAGCCTCTTAATTTGAGCGGATTTCCTTTTGATTTAAGCTTAAATCTGATTGAATCAAGAGTCCGTTTTCTTGTCAATATTTTCAAGAGTCTGGACTCCAGATCCAATGTGTATTTTTTCCGAATGTAGGGCAAAATAATACTTTTTACTAACCAAAAACGTTGGAAAATGTTCCGAATGCAATCCTGTTTTGAATTACTTACATAAAGGAAGTCTATCTCCGGTTGATCTTCTGCGTGAATAGACTTTCCTTGCCGATATGAGTCTCTATGCCTTCATAGGTATATTTCCATTCATTGTCAAGATTAAACCCGACATTTCTCTCTTCATCTATAGAGTCTAATTGGACCCCTAGACAATGTACGAATTTCAACATTCTGATACATGTTTCTTAACCAAAATTTCACTTAGAACACGATACGCACAACGAAAATTACCGAAAACAACTCCTTTCGATGATATCTAATGACTCTTGATGCGTGGTTTCAAACCACCCGCTCATGAAAACTCAATACTCTACGTGATTCACATCGCGCGCTAAACGTTATCATGACAATCTCTGCAGTATAAAAATCTGGCAACCTCAAACTTGACGCCTTGGCTCAGCTGTAGCAAATTGCTTATAGTTTGAACAACACATGGTGGGAAATGAACATTGCTTGATAGAGAAGATTGCCGAAACCGTTGTAGTGCGCGATTTGACTCACGTAGAGCTTTGAGTTTCTTGTGAGCGGGCAGTTCAAATTCTTCATAACCAATGTGAAATAAAAACGTTAATATCTCCGTTAGGAGTTGGTTTCAGTAATTTTCGTTGTGTGAATCGTGTTCCATGCGAAATTCTGGTTAAGAAATATGTATCAGATTGCTTAAATTCGCACCTTGTCTAGTGGTCCATTGGACCCCTAGAACACGTTCCTCGCTTTTTCTGTTCAACCCTGAGACAGCCCAGATATTTTAAAAATTTGCCGCAGGGTTTCCTGTCAGGATAACGTTTTGAAATAGGTGCCTTCAAATCAAGAATTTTTTTTAATGCAAGCTCAGCTTATTCATTTGTAGAACACACCCTTAAAAGCGAATTCTAATGAACCACACGATATGGCACAAAATAGACCTTAAAAAACACAACCCTCATAAAAACATGTACCTAATGCACGCGGAACACGTCAAAAACTTCCAAAATTAAGTCATAAGTGAGACATTAACATTTTTATTGTACACAATAAACACTAATTTCAATGTTTTCACCGGCATAGGCATTGAAAACAACCCACACCTTAGGCAAATAATTAAAGGTTGGCTGAATACCCATTCTCCTCCTCCTCTAAGTCTTAGCTTTAATGATCTCCTCGAAAAGGGGAGGAAAGATATCACATGGGAGAATTTTTCAAATGTCAAAAATGTATACTGAAAATCCTGTAGTGCTCGATTTGACAGAAATGGACTTAGTCTTTTCGAAGTAGGGACTTTATCAACAATTCTTCGAGGGTCGTCCAGAACGTAAGTTCACTTGTTCAATATCTCCTAAACTAACGTAGGTAAAGAAAATCCTTAGAAAACGTTGAAAAGCCACTACTCTCAGCTCTTTAACGCGCTATGGATTTATAAAATTGGTTTGATAGAACTTAAGAAAAGTGGGTTTTTCTGAACTCACCTCCCCTCCGCTCGGGTTCAAAATTTCACGGAGCTTCATTCGCAAGTGAGCCGTTATGTCCGTCGCTTAAGGCAAAAAAGTGGATTAGAAGTGATTGAAATACATGTAAAACATAAGTAAATACTTTTCCTGGGTAAGAAATAGCAGGATTGATCGTGTTTACTTTGATTATTGGTAGCTTTGGACTGGAAATGTTAACTACATTTGGTGAACTCTTGGAGTTGTAACCCTGAATTTGGTTTCGGTGTCTGAATTGAGTTCTACTATTCAATCTCTTGCCAAGAACGGTGACCCTAACTGCTAATATTCAGGTTCATTTATGGTAAGAGCTGCATATTTTTCCAAATCACGGATCTTTGACGAAATTTCTTCGAGAACGGGCAGGATAATTTGAATGCTTATGAAGGATTCAGTTTTCTAGTGAGAGTTAACGTTGGCAATTCTGTAAACTTTTGCTCGGATGCAAATGATTTTGAAGTAAACAAGGCTAATCCTGCTTTTCCCACTTAAGAAAAGTCTTTACTTTATGTTTTACATGTATTTCAACCACCTCTAATCCACTTTTTTGCCATAAGCGATAGACGCGACACAACGGCTCACTTGTGAATGAAGCTCCGTGAAATTTTGGACCCGAGCGGAGAGGAGGTGGGTTCAGAAAAAACCCTTTTTCTAGAGTTCTATTAAACTAACTTTATGAATCTACAGCGCGTTAGAGAGCTGAGAGTAGTGGATTTTCAACGTTTTCCACGGATTGCCTTTACCTACCTTAGTTTAGGAGATACTGAACAAGTGAACTTACTTTCTGGACGACCCTCGTATTTTCTGACGTATGGGTCAGAATTGGTCAATTTGGGCGGGTTCATTGGACTGCATTTTGCAATTTGGAACTATAAATTCTGGCCCGGTTTAAAAACAACGTATGTACCATTAGTTTCCCTATGCACATAAGTGTCTTTTCAGATGAGCCAGAATTTATAGTTCCAAATTGCAAAATGTATAGTCCCATTGTATTCTACGCACCGGCTTAAACCGCAACACTATGCCATGATAAGGAAAGACGTCGTATGAACCTTCAAGCGTTGCCAAATTTTCTTTCATAAAACGCGAATTTCCTGGTAAATTCATGAATATTTTTTTCCTCCCGATTTTTCAGATAATTTAGTTTACAATTTTATACAAAGATTCTGAAAATTTAAAGGTAAAATATACGTAGCTTTACTCAAAAATGAGAATTTTATCGAAAGAATTTTGGCAATTTTCGAATGTTTATACGGCGTTCTTCCTTAGCACGGCAGAGTAGGGGCGAAATGGAACTGAGAGTGGATATCACACTCGGTGTTAGTCCTTGAAAGTTTGAATGCCTAAATGTGCGTATCTCCATAATGTCCAAGTAGGTGAGGTACAGTGGCGTGGCGTGCTTTGCCATCTATCGATATTTCCCCATTTCAAGCTGTCGTGAATAATCGATTATTAAGGTGTTCGCTGTGATCGCTCTGTTTATCGATACTTTCCCATAGGTTTAAATGACCGATTAATCGATACATCGCAAAGCACGCCACGCCACTGATTGCTGTAGATTCCTGACGGAACATATGCCAATGAACGCACAAAACAAACCAAATTAATTAAGGTGATTCGATGGACACCATATTTTGTGTCAGAACGGCATGCGATATATCGCATCAATTGGTTCCATTTTTCAGCTACTCGTCATTTTCCTCCAATTTTAAGATCGCAATTCTGTTGTCAGGAGACTAAAGCACTCACCAATTTTAGCAAAGAAATTCAACGTAATAAAGTCGTGGGTATTTCAGAGAGAAAACATCGCATTCGATACTGATATCGAAACTGCACTCGAATGCGATGTTTTCTCTCTGAAAAAAACCACGCCTTTATTACGTTGAATTTCTTTGTTAAAATTGGTAAGTGAGTGCTTTAGTCTCCTGACAACAGAATTGCGATCTCAAAATTCGAGAAAAATGACGAGTAGCTGGAAAAATGGAACCAATTGATGCGATATATAGCATGCCATTCTGACACAAAATATGGCGTCCATTGAATCACCTTAAACCCAAATAACGTGGAAGCTGTTTCCTGCGAACGATATTTACGAGCTAAGGGCCTTCTTACAACTATCTCTTGAAATGCACCCAGTGTTTAACCACGCCCATCGCTTTTAGGCGAGCCACGTCCTACTAATATGAAGGAGTGCCAAGAGAAGATATGTAAAGAAAAAGGAGGACTCATCATTAACGGAAAACATAATCTGCCGATCATGATTGTACAAAAAGAGATGGACGAAGAGGCACTTGAATGTGGATGTCGCATAAACCCGGAAGTGTATGATTTTCTGAAAAAAGGAAGATATAATATCGATGAATTCAACCTTTCGGTGTTTGGTAGTGTGGCTGGTATCCATAAATGGTTAAAAGATAACAAAATCGAATTCATACCAAATACAGCAAACCATATTGAATGATCCCGAATATTTTCCTAATAATTTTGAAGTCAATCGAAAATATTACGGAAGCATCTTGTTTTATATTTTAAAGATCGTTTGTAAAATTTTACAAATTGTCGAGTATATTGTAAAAGTATCATAAAAATGTCTCTAAAATGTACCTATTGTACCTTTCCAAGTTTTTTAAAAAAAATATTGTAAAAGTAATGAATTTTAATGTTGTATCAAGTATGGAAAGTTGCATTAGAATGTTATTATGTACTTGTTTAAAACCATATTAAATGTCTAAGCACAATGGTACATCCTCCGTTGATTTTGCTTTGTTATCGAAACCTTGAATAAGTATTTGACAAAAAAAAAACAATAAATTGTTTTGCAAGATATTCGTGTAGCATTTCTCTTTGATCAATTTTTTTCAATTCTATTCGATCAAAAATGGGTTCGTCAGGATTTCAAAACACCCCAGTCCTCTGAGCATCTATAGCTGAAGTTTAGCCCCGATCACCCATGTTTTTGGGTTTTTTTTTCTTCGTCACATTTTTTGCTACCGATTTTTTTATATTGTTAAATAAATCACCAAGTGAAAGGACGGCCGAATGCCATGTTCGCTAGGTGTACGTCGGGTTCTCTCACCGACAGTTTGGGAAGTATCTTTACTTGCTCTCCATAATTCAGCGAGAAGAAGACGAGTCTAATTTGAGTGACCTTTCCACACCGTGCAGTCTCATTTATTACCTGATTTATTAATCAAGACCAACGTTGTCGGTTTGGAGGTAATTTCCTGTAGACTGTGAGAGTTAAAAAAGAACCTGATAAATTACCCATCTACCCAATGGAGATGTTGCATGTGTGAGGGATTTGCGATTTGACTGTTGATTCTTGTGTAAAAGTTCGCGAGAAACACGATGGTGCCACTGGTTTCCTCTGAAATCAACTCCCAATCTCAAAAAAAGCTCCCAAGTTGAGGCCAAAATGGAGGGAATATCCTACCCTACCCTGAGAGTCCACCTCTACATCAAGACAAACTCTCCATGCAAAGATTGGGAGCAAATACATTAGCAGGGTTGCCGTGTTTTCAGTTTTGGAGTCCCCAAATAAAGTGGCAGCCCTGTCAATGTATTTGCTCCCTATCTTTGCATGGAGAGTTTGTCTTGATGTAGAGGTGGATTCTCAGGGTAGCGTGGGATATCCCCTCCATTTTGGCCTCAACTTGAGAGCTTTTTTTGAGCTTGGAAGTTCATTTTGGAGAAAACCAGTGGACCAGTGGGAGTGGTACTCCTTTAATTTTAATCTCTTTTATAGTATTAATCGAGACTGTGAGAAGGTTAATTCGGCCCTGGTCACTGAGAATTCGGTTAATGTCTAATATAATTTCAGGACATTTGTTAATAGTTCTTTTAGGAAACTGCGGGTTTTATATGTTTCTGGTTCAGTTAATTTTGTTTCTTTTTGAGTTTTTTGTTTGTTTTATTCAAGCTTTTGTATTTTCCGTTTTATTAACTCTTTATTCTAGTGAAATTTAAAGTTTAGTTTATCTTAGTTTATCTCGTCTTATCTTATTTTATCTTGAATGATCAAATTCTATTATAATCTGAATATCTATTATATTCTATTATATCTTATATTATTTCTATTAATTCTGTATTTCTCGTGAACTTTTACATAAGAATCAACAGTTAAATCGCAAATTCCTCACACATGCAACATCTCCATTCACTGAGGAGAAAATGNACTCTCCATGCAAAGATTGGGAGCAAATACATTAGCAGGGTTGCCGTGTTTTCAGTTTTGGAGTCCCCAAATAAAGTGGCAGCCCTGTCAATGTATTTGCTCCCTATCTTTGCATGGAGAGTTTGTCTTGATGTAGAGGTGGATTCTCAGGGTAGCGTGGGATATCCCCTCCATTTTGGCCTCAACTTGAGAGCTTTTTTTGAGCTTGGAAGTTCATTTTGGAGAAAACCAGTGGGACCATCGTATTTCTCGTGAACTTTTACATAAGAATCAACAGTTAAATCGCAAATTCCTCACACATGCAACATCTCCATTCACTGAGGAGAAAATGGTCATAGTGGGACATTACAATGTTCTGTAAAGACCTTACTTCACGGCTTATGTAACTATTCTTTCCGTTCTGCCCGCCCTCGTCTCTCGCGACTGATGCCGCTGCGGCATACAATTCAAACCACCGATTGTTTTCTGCGATTTAGTCTCATGGACCGAAAATATACGATTTCCCAGACCACAACTGGGCGTGTTTCTATCAAACAGAACTATGTACAGGTGAGAAATATGGGGTGTGCTCTAGGAAGCTGCATAAGAAATGATGTGGTCAGTGGGCGTGATTCCTCTTGAAGAATTGGGAAAGCGGAATTTTACATTCAGCAATCAGAACTTTGTGCCAACTGAATGCGGAATTCATGAGCCGCGGGCATGGCACGAGAGCGTTGCGGACAGGGCTCATGAGTTAAAGCGCACTACGAGGAGCCGCGGCGACGGCATCCATTTCCGTTGACGTCACTGGCGCACACCCCATATTTCTCACCTGCACATAAATCTGTTTGATAGAAATACTTCCAACTGATCACATGACCTCCGTATCGAATAGAAGGGTAAAACAGCACTCAAATATTATTAAATGCATTCCTCTATCTCTGCTTATAGAGTGGTTTATGTGACGGAACATTTTTGTCGGAGTATTTCCCACGTTTATATCCGGTTAGTATTATGTATTGAATATTAGAATTAGTCAATTAGAGTACATCTCCAATGAGTTTGATGTACGAAACTAATAAGTTTGTGTACAAAATTAAGTTAAGTTAATTGCATCGAAATCATCCAACTCTTTTTTCAGTGAAGTTAAAGTTGTTTCAAATGTTTAAAACTCTTAAAAGTAATGGATACTTGACCAGAAATTTGTCAGGAACCGACATTTATCGTCGTCTCAAGCGGAGAACAGATACTTTGATCCACACTCGCTGAGTCGTTTCAAAGTCGTTTCAAATGTTTAAAACTCTTAAAAGTAATGGACACTTGACCAGAAATTTGTCAGGAACCGACATTGATTTTCGACATTTATTGTCGTCTCAAGCGGAGAACGGAGACTTTGATCCACACTCGCATTTTTTTGAACTTTCACTTCAAGGCCCTTTTTCCATGCCGGGTCTGAAATAATAACAGCATTTAAAATATCAACGTTTAAACCGAGGATAAACATGGGAAACAAAGTTCATAAGACTTGATGCAACCGAGTCAAAGCTCGATTTTCTCTGAAAGCATTTCCCTCATTCTCTTGTGCTGCCATGCCGTGCTAAGGAAGAACGCCGTATGAACCTTCAGGCGTTGCCGATTATCCTTCGAAAAACAACGGATTTTCAGGAAAATTTGTGAATATTTCTCCTCCGATTTTTTGGAGAATATTCTTCGAAATTTGATCTGAAAATTCTGAAAATTTCAAGGATAAATATTCATAAAATTCCTCAAAAATAAACATTTTATTGACGGAAATTTGGCAACTCCCGATTGTTCATACGGCGTTCTTCCTTAGCACGGAAGCGTTATCGGTGCGCTTTTTCTTGCCGGAGCGGATTATTCCTCCATGCTCCGTGATCGCGGACCAGCGACACGGATCAGGCCGACATTGATGGCGCCGCTAGACCCAGCGGTGATAAGTGATGATTTCTGACGGAACACGGTGACTAACAGTCCGACCAAAAAACATGCCGAAAGTGCGCAGACTCGATGACTAGTTGATAACGTCTCTTCGAAAAAAAAGAACCCACGCGTCTAAATGTTGCCGTGACGCGCGAGGTGGGATGTTGGGTATGTCAGGGGCCGAATTTTGTCGGCTTCTTCACATGGAGTGCAACATTCATCGATGAGTTCCAACCGCACCACCGGCCAATCAGAAGCGCTAAGCCGGACTTACGTGCAGTCGAGACTCGTCCTAAGTATATTTAAGTACGGTGGAAGGACCGACAAAATTCGGCCCCATCGGGCCTCAAAAATACTAGAGCGTTGAGAGGAAAAGATGGAAAACTAATTTTACCAATCAGTGCACTGAAAAAAACCGCACCACCGGCCAATCAGAAGCGCTAAGCCGGACTTACGTGCAGTCGAGACTCGTCCTAAGTATATTTAAGTACGGTGGAAGGACCGACAAAATTCGGCCCCATCGGGCCTCAAAAATACTAGAGCGTTGAGAGGAAAAGATGGAGAACTAATTTTACCAATCAGTGCACTGAAAAAAAAGTTACGGGCTGTATTAGACATTCAGTCCGTTCCGGGCCAGGCGCCGAAAGTCCCGGGTGCTGGAGCTGTACCTTTTATTGCTCCAGATGCTACGGCCGGAATTTTCGGTCTCTGAGCCCGGAACGCGGACGGTATGGGTTTATATTCCCCTAAGTACGGCTTTCACGGCCGGAGGTTTTTTTTTCAGTGTGAATCTCTAAGAATAATTCATTGATTCATGACTCTTGCAGAATTAGACGTATTTCTATCCATGACGTGAGCCCTGTTATTCACATATTCCTAAGGGTCCCAGGGCTCACGTCTCAATGCACATGGTTCCGTTTGACAGAAATACGTCCAATTTATGGTTCGATAGCGCATCGTTTCTAATCGCAAGGGAATCATGAAGAATTCCTCTGTGAGATCGATCAAGAATTGTATGAAACGGTGAACTGTATGTAGTTATTACAAGAAACTATGTACGGTGAACTATGCACATCGGGTTTGCGTGCTTCGTAGTTCTGTTCGATTTTATTCATTTGTGGACTCATGGTTATTTGCAGCGTGAACACGTGCGATCAAAGGGTGAGCGTGTTTCGCCGATGGCTTTTTCCGAGAATAGAGGATTTGGAAGAGAAAATTCCATAGCTCTACATGATCGTGCTTCATGAGCTGCATGAGGACACGGCGTTTTTCTCGATTTTTTCCTAATACGGAGAAATGTTAATTTGCAAGAGGGGAATGCATGACATTCTGACGTCACAAGGCGGCATTTTTCATTAGGATTGCATTTTGCAATTTGGAACTATAAATTCTGGCCCGATTTAAAAACAACGTTTGTACCATTAGTTTCCCTATGCACATAAGTGTTTTTTCAGATGAGCCAGAATTTATAGTTCTAAATTGCAAAATTCAGTCCATTTAAACACCTGTACTTTAGACGAGGACTGTTGACTATCCAGGAGTAAAATTCGGTGCCAGTCTATCTATGTAGCGCCCAAAAACTGGACTGCATTTTGCANAAAAAAAAAAAAAAAAAAAAAAAAAAAAAAAAAAAAAAACCATTATGCGCA